CCCCCCCCCCCCCGCTCGTCTTTCGCAGATGATTTCTGCGCAGCACTGCTGTTCCTGCTACAGCAGTAAGCTGCAACAACCACACCAGACTTGCGAAAGCTTTCGTCCGTCGCTCCCTCTAATCATCCGACACAACAACTACCTTTTTCGTTCTTCCCTCTCTATCCCCCCCCCGCCTGTCGCAGATGATGTCGGCGCTCTCCAACGCATGTGCAGCCCTGCTCCTGCTAGCCGCAACACCAACTTGCGAAGCCTTCGTTGCCTCCTCTAGTCCTTACACACGACAAGTACCGACGACAACGACAGCAGCTCGATGCCGAAGTTCCCTTGATGGATTGGAACGGCCACGGCAGCAACAACAACGGCAACGGGAGCGATCTGGGAGGACAGGGACAATGATGATGGCGGTGTCACACGCTGCTGCGGAAGAGATCTCCAACATGGAGGATGTGGGTTCCCTCTGACTGTGCAATAGTTCAGCAAAACGATTGCGCCGGAACATTCCACTTAAGTTGATGTGCCGATGGCGTCGGGGGATACGAAACGCAAAATTTGCACCGAGATTCAATGTTATTTTTTATGTTGTCGGTCGGGCATGATGAGATTGATGGTACTCTTAGGTGAGCTTTTCGCCTTGTTCGTGCTGCCGGATCCTGCCGACTTCTGTTATTTTCCTCGCGTACCGAATATACCTGAAACTTCCCCATTTCTTGCCTCCGAGCGAGAGGCGTTGGCCACGCCTGATGCCAGCTTTATGCTGTCGTGTGTAGGATTCACAACCAAATGGACAAACATGCATCTTATTCTCTGCGCAAGTGTTTCGCCTGGACACGTACGTGAGGGTTTTCGCATTTCATCGACCCGGTCCTCCTGCGGTGGTTGTTACCATCACTGATTTGCATTTGCGCACATGCGGGCGGGTGTCGCATATACAGGTGCCGAAACTCAAGGACCCCGTGGCCATTGCGGATTTCGAGGCCCTCGATATTCGGGTTGGGTGAGTAAGACATTGATGTTCGTGATTTCCGCCTGTTTTGGACTTGAGTCTCACCTGTCGTGCATGAGGCGCGGATGTGCTACGGCAGGAATTTCACTCAGGCGATCGCGATAAAAGTATAATCGTGTGAACCGCTCTGTGTATGAGGTGTGCGCAAGCAACTGTTTTGCAAGCGCTTCTGGTGTGTGACCGTCTCCAGACGGCGACACTCGTGTGTTCCCTATTTCTTCAAAGGGTGACATCTATTTTCCCAGGCGTGATGTGCTTGCTGTATCGACAGCCCTGTTTTCATAGTTCGCGTCAGTACAGGTGGCTGTCGATCAAAGGCAGCGTGCATCATGTCGACTCCACCTGACCGACGCTTTCCGACGAAACGATCGTTCGCGCCGCGTGTGTGGTGAACCCGATTTTGATCATCAAGAGAATGGACCCTTGTGGCAAGCGGCCCCTGTCGTGTACCCCTTTGCACCGCCGTCCATGTCAACGCCTTCCGCTGCTGGTCGATACTGTTACTGTGCGTCGCGTTTCCCGTCGCCAGGCGTATCGTTCTGGCCGAGTTGATCCCGGACCCCGACCATGGAAACAAGCCCAGCCGAAAGTATTTGTCTCTCGTCGTGGACCTTGGCAACGAGAAGCGTAGGGTGGTGAGCGCTGTGCGGTCTATCGTGGACGTCGAGGACGCCATCGGGTGAGGCTCTGTACATACCCTTGCGAATTGCTCGGTCGTTGTCTTCTTCCAGATTTGGGTATTTTGAGGCATGTTCCAAGCCCCCCTTTTATGACTTTGAAGACGGTCATGCTTTGTCTCGCCCGCTTGCATCACTGTCAAAAGAGGTGATGTCTCGTTTGTAAGTCTTTGATGACGTTCATGCTTTGCCTCATCCGCGTGTTTCACTATCAAAAGAGGTAAGGAGTCTCGTGTGAACGTGTAGGTAGCCATATGAAGGGACGAAACCGGGGGAAGAGAGGAACACCTGTAAACATCTATCCCTTGCCAATGTTCCTCCTGTCACTGTTTGATGTTGCCACGTTTGGATATTTCGATATGCCGGCGGTTGGTCCTCAACCCGAACAGGAAAGCCGTGCTGATGGCCGCCAACGTTGAGGAGGAGACCATCCTCGGCCTGCCCAGCAGGGGGAAGCTGCTGTCCGGCTCCAACTTCAGCAAGGAACCGATGCCCAGGACCTTGCGCACAGTTCTGCTTGGAGGCGGAGGGGTCCCGCCGGGTAGCGCGGTGTCGGGGCTCTAGGTGAGCGGGGGGGGGGTATTGGGGGGTCGAATCTGAAGTAAGTGCCATGGGGAAGGCGAAGCTGCATCTGGGCTCCACGTGCCGAGGAGGGAGGAGCAAGGACTTGTGCGACTTTGGCCTGATTTACTCTCCACCTAGGATGGATTTCAGTGGGTGCGCGCTCCCCCGGACGGTGCGGAGAAAGTGGCATCAACACCACCTGGTCAGGGTAGGCTCTTGGCGGAAGATTCAGGAACAAGGCTCGGAAAACTGAGTGCGAAACTTCTGGAGGAAGGGGGCGCGTGTCCGCGTGTTGTCAGAGGAACTCCCGGAAAACTTACGGGATGGCAGCCAGCCTTTGTTGTAGCTCGAGAAGGCCTACCATGCCGGCTCCATACGGAGAAGCCTCCGATGTTGGGTGAGAGAACGCGGGGGTTGCATGTCATGTCCAACCGGAGGGTGGATTGGCCTGATCCGCAGACGCACACTTGAGTGGGCGGCCTCATGTGGTGTTGGTCCCTTGTGCGTTCTCTGCTAACCTTGAGCAGCACCTTGATTGGGCCAAGTTTTGGCCTGGCGGGGGCAGAGGTTGCTTGTGGAACAATGGGCGGCTTCTGTATGTGACGGTTTCCCGCTTCTCGAGTTCGGGGTGTGTTTGTTTCTTCAGATGACGCCCATAGGCGTCGGGTCGATGCGGCGTTCTAATATTCTCAACCCTTTCTTTTTTTTTGTACAAGTAGAGCTTCGGCTATCGAATCATGTCTCTTTACATCGTCTGAACCAAGCAGCAAAGAGTCACGACTTCGCCGACCAACATCAAAAACGCTTACTACTGCGAACATCGTGTGGACGACCTCTGGACAACCGGGAAGTTCGCAAAAAATACGACAAACAGAGGCAGCAGTCTTCCGCACACGACCCTGGTCCAATGACTCGGCAACTATTACGCAACAATCTCGCTAAGCAAGTGCAACTATGATTGTGGTCTCCTTGTCGCAACATCATTGTCCTCCTTCTCAACTTCTGCGTCATCAACCTGAGGGGTCTTTTCTCCATCTTCCCCTGGCCGGAGTTTGCTACGGAGGGCCTCGGATAGCAGCGGCAAGAAACGGAGCACAAGCTCTTCTGGCCGATCACTGCTGCCGACGCCGCCGCCACCGCCGCCATCACGATCTCGTGCGGTGAACGATGACGACGCCGATAGCGACGGTTGTGACGAGACCATCTCGTCGCCAGCAACTGCATCGCCAGCATCGGCATCGCCAGCATCAGACTCGCCAACAGCAGCAATCTCACGCCCCTCCTCGTTACCTTCGTCATAATCCTCTTCTTCCTCCCAATCATCGTCGTCGTCGTCGTCGTCGTCGTCGTCGTCGTCGTCTCTGTCGTCCTCGTCCGATTCGTCCCTCTGTTCTTCTGTCTCCTTGTGTGCTTGGTCGTACGACTCCGCTGCGTCAAACGCCCATTTCTCGAACCTGCAGGCAGCCACTCATTGTCAGTAGGGGGAGGAACACTATCTCGCGTCCAAAATATCAAATACCTAGAGGAAGGCGCCGTGAGCACATTTTGATTTCAAGTCGACGTACGAAACTCCTTCAGGAAGGTTCCAGTGAGTGCATGTTCCATTCAAGTCGATGAACTACGCTGGTGCCGCTCGGCATGTCTTGACTGGGCCAATTGGTACTGAGCCGCATCGCCAGATAATTAGCCGCCCAAACACTGACCTCAAAACAACAAGCTAAAAACACGTGCAGCTTCTCCGTGGAGAGTACAAGATGTGATATCGTCTTATCATGCGACAGTCCCCCCATTTTTCGTGGTGAGACATGTCATAC